GGACCTGGCATGAGGAGTGCAGCCAGAGAAAAAGGCCTGAAGCCCAGATATGGGTATTTAGGTCTGAAGGGTCAACTGTTGGGGGCCCCCTCTGAATTGCTACTGAGTAATATCTGCAAGGCATGAGCATGACTGTGTGTGTGGCTGGAGGCCATGGTTATAGTCCCTAAGGCACAGTGAAGATCAGTGGGCACATTGTGGGTCTGGTTGACCACGTTATCATACTGACAAAGCAGAGAAGCCTTGAAGTATGGTCTTAAAGCAGAAGCACTTCTGGAGAAGCAGAGGGACTCCAGGACTGAGTTGTGGGGTTAAAAAAACCCTAAGGACTGAGTTTGGGGCAGAGAACCCCAAGGATGGAGCCGAGGAAAAGCACCACAGAAGCTATTCCTGGCCTCTAGAGGCAGCCTTTTCAGTTGGCCATCGGTAACATCAAAGGCATGGCAAGTGGGAGACGGGAGGGGAGGGGAGGGAAGTTGGAAAGTGCACCAGGTGAGTCTGTGATCTGTGACCCTGTAGCAAGCTGGTCAGTCTCATCTGCCTGCCCAATAAACTTCTACTCAAGACAGTCAAAGAACTGTTGCCCGAGGCCAATGCTACCCATTTTAATATTCACTCATAGCTATCCAGGGATTTGTGGGAGACCACAATTACCAACTTCACCATACAGAGACAGGACTTGACTTCCTTCTTGATTAGAAAGAGACAGAAAATGCATTGGGGTGAGCCTACACATGCAATTAATTTGAAACAATAAACTCTGATGCATATTGCAAAGTTTACTGCTTCCGGGAACCATATTTACACGTGTGTCTGGGACTGCAGCACGCTGAGCTGGGTCGGAGCAGACCCAGCTGGTAGGAGGTCCAGGGGGTCAGCCTGCCATCCCGGGACTGCTCTGATCTGGCTCAAGTGTGCTGCGGAGGGGCTGGCTGGGGTGCAAGGGTGCTCCAGTGCAGGGTTATCCAGCAGGCAGCCCTTATGCTGAAGCACCCCTGTGCCCCAGCCAGCCCCATTAGCATCTATACGCGCATTGCTGCGCAGTAAAAAATCTACTGTAGAATAGTATTTGTATTTACATGTACTAACCTATGGCTGAGTGAATTAGTTTGCTGTGGCCTAAGAGGGACACATGGACTTACTGTGGAGCTAATTAGGCAGCTCTGCAGTAAGTGTTTCATGTAGGCACGGCCACTGAGAACCACTGGCCAAATGCACTGGCCATGTTCACACACAGGGAGAAGCATTCCCCCTTCTTCTTCCAAAGAAGTCACTTCTTTGGAAGTGCAATTCTATTGTTTGTGTTTACAGGTGGTCAGATTAGATGAACACAGAGCTGCTTTCTGATCTCCAATCCCAATGGAGAATCAGCCATAAACTAAATGCCCATGAATAAGAGAAGCCTAAAAGTTCAGAATTCCAAGTCTCATAACGCCCACAATGCAAGGGATCCTTGCAAGTTTTCCTTATCTGCTCACCTCTTCTTGTCTTTAAAAGGCAGGGATGCATATATCTCCTTGTAGCCATCAAGGACACGGTGTACTCGTTCATCTCTATATTTAGAAAGCCTTTCGACAGCCTGTAAAGATAGAACATAAACAGTTAACATACTGGTTAAAACCTTGCTTCACTGTACTCCCTGAGCTGTGCTCCCTGATACAAGACCACTTGGCCTCAAACAAGTTAGAGCTCCATATGGGAATTATGGATTAATACAGACTTTTGAAACTTCTTATATTTGCTATACTTAAAACTCACAGAAATCATGTGCATTGGTCACAATTAAAAAATGTTTCATTGTAGATTTTAATTTTTATTTCATATCTTCACTGCAATTCATCATGGATTATTTTTTTTTGTTCTTGCATAGAAAGTTCCATGAAAAATGGCCTTTTTCAAAATTGCCTCCATCTCCCTTTGTTATTATTGGGACTAAGGCCATGGATTTCTACCACAATAGTCACTGCCTCCCATTATTTCCAAGAAGGATGATGGCTCCCAGTTTAGTCACGACAGGGATCAGGTGACACCAGCTAGTGAACTCACTAGCTTAGAGAACAATGGGAGATAGATGCCACTCACAAAATGGCTACCTGATATACTAACATGATGAAATAAGAATTAACATGTTAACAAGAAAAACCTACAAACACTATTGTAATTATATGATAATAGGGGTGTCATTAAAGACCAGAACTAAGATTGTTAAGGTGCCCTACTTGTGCTTTTCCTGCTTGCGTGTGTGTGTGTGCGCGCGCGCGTGTGAGAGTATGTGAATATATATATATGGATTTCTTTTAAGTCTAATCATTACTTTGGATTTATAATATAGTCAGTAATATATTTTTGCCTTAAATTATTGATATATACCAAGCCATCACTTGGCACAAATACAGGTTTTTTTGCTACCAAGAGATTTGGTGATGGTATCACATTTTTCCCTTACAAATTTTAAGCCCTTATTCACTACTGTGCTCAATATAATTGGGTTTAGAATTTTTGTTAATAGGCAAAGCAATTTATTCTTCTCTATTACTTTTTATAAACATAGGTGAACTAATTTTTACAGGCATCTAAACAAATAAAAAAAAAATCAAGTGAGCACTGGAAAATTACAGCCCCAAACACCTTTGACAATAGGGTCTTTAAATGGACTGTGTTAGGACACTAACTTTGGGTGGTATTAATACTGCTGACACAATATTATATTCCCTCTACTGCGTGTGGAATGTCACGAGAAAGAGGACTGTTTTATTGCCCCACCTCACTGAAGATTTCGGTTAGCTTTTCAGAGCAGTCTTTATACTGCAAACGCACGTCTGAAGTATAGGTACTGAAGGCCACGCAGCTATCGGGTCTGAGAACTCTGTCCACTTCTTTCATGAATATCTCCAGATCAAACCAGTGGGCGGCTACAAAGGCAGTGATGAGGTCCACTGAGCCATCTTCAAATGGAAGCTGCTCTGCACTGGAAACACTAGGTAGGGGAAGAGGAAAGGTACTTATTACTGGGATCACAAGGAGTCACCCACTGCTTTATTTGGCCTCATCCCAAGCCAAATGGGCTAAATGGAAGGCTGCTGGACATGTATGATAGTGATTCCTAGAAAGGGTTGAGTTTCAAGCACTTGGATGCATCTACACGAGATGCTTAACGCGCAGTAGCCTAATAACACTGAGCAGTACTGCATCACAGTACAAACCACGTTAATACGCTACTGCACAGTATTATTAGCAGGGATCCTGGTTTTCTCTGGTTTAAAAAAAAATCCCCAATTTTCTGTTTAAAAAAAAAAGTAATCCCAAATCTACATTTTTTCATGACTAAAATGAAATGGCACTATTTATATATTAGTGGTGTTTCATTTAAATCATGGAAAAATGGATTTCAGGTTACTTTTTTTAAACTGAAAATTGGGGATTTTTTAAAATCAGAGAAAATCAGGATAGCTGATACTGCGCAGTAGTGTCACCAAAAAGGTGTTTGCTGGCACTACTGTGCAGTAACTCTAGTTACTGTGCACTTATTTAGTACTTGATTGTACAAATACTAAATTAAATGCACAGTAACTACTGCACATTAATGAATATGTAGATACGCCCTCTGAAAACTAGTCCCCATATACTAGACATCACACCCAAAAAACGTGAGGACCTCTTCTGAAACCATTGGCACGTAGCAGTCCTGTTTGTGGAGTCTTTGCTTTGTGCTGTCATCTGGATTATGACTCTGCCACCTGAAAGAGTCACTTCTTTTAAGTTACACTTACCAGTAGGAAACATTGGGGAGAGAGTTAGCTTGTTTGGCCTCTTCAATCTGTGCTTCACTTATGTCAATCCCAATCACCTTCTCAAAGTGGGCTGCAAGCACTTGAGTGCCCTGTCCTGACCCACAGCCAATGTCCACTGCTAGTTGAACAGGGCTCGCTCTCTAAGAAGAAGAAATAATGCGATTTAGCTGTCTTTTATTCCTGAAGATCTGATAGGACAAGGGAGTGTGGTCTGCTGGCTACGTTGTTCACATTCCCAAAGTGTAGACTTTAAGAACAATGCCAAAAAATCATGAGAGTTGGCAATACTGAATCTTCACAGTTCTGGACCTGATCAAAAGCTATCCTGTGCTAGGCAGCAACTGAAATCTTGCAAAACTCTGGAACTCCTGGTTCAGAGATGATACCTTTTATTAGACCAACTAAAAAAAAAACAAACAAACAAAAAAACCGCAAAAAAATTACCCTTTTTTGCGACTTCTTGGTCTAAAAGGTATCATCTCTGAACCAAGAGTTCTAGAGCTTTGCATTTCTTTTTGTCTCAGACCAACGCAGCTACTAAATACATCCCTACTGAAATCTTAGCTTCTTTCATTCCTTGGCGCTCTCAGCACAACAGCAAGCTCTCCCTATGCCTGAAGAAGGGCTCTTGTGCCCCAAAGCTTGCAAAGAACATTTTCCCAACTATTCAGTTGGTCTAATAAAAGTTATCGCATCTACCCAAAGAAGCATCCCTATTAAAATCTATATATTACTAGATGAGGTTTTGGTTGCAGCCTCGTTGGTCTAAGGGCATAGGCAGGTAAGGTTGTTTGGGTAGACGTGATAGCTTTTATTAGACCGGCTCAGCTGGAAAAAAGGTCTTAGCAAGCTTTCAGGTGCAGTCACCGTTCATCAAGCAGGCTGGAGACTCCAAGGAACGAGATGAAGCTTCTCTCATTCCTTGCAAACTCAGACCAGCAAAGTCTCCCTATCCCTGCCAAAGGGTGACTGCACCCAAAAGCTTGCCAAGACCTTTTTTCCAGCTACTCAGTGGGTCTAATAAAAGCTATCACATCTACCCAAAGCAGCTCGCCTGCACATCCTGCTAGAGGAACGCCTGGGCTTCTGGCTCTTTTCCCTGTGAGAGCTGCAGGACTCGGCAGCGCGGGAGTAAACAGCATTTCTCCTTCCCCCCGGGCGGGGCAGGGCTGGGCTGGGCTCTCCGCACTGCCGCTGCCGGCCGGGGGGCGGCGGGGACAGGGCTGCGCTTCCCCGGAGCTGCAGCTGCCGCTGCCCGGGCGCAGCGAGCCCGGGGTCGGGGCGCTCAGCGAAGGGGAGCGGGAGTGCAGCCCGGCCCCTCGCCCCTCACCTTGTCCCGCAGGTAGGCGAGGAGGAGCCGCTGCAGCTCCGGCGGCGGGGCGAGGCGGTAGCGCTGGTAGCTGGCCGCGTGCGCCTTCCCCTCGAAGAGGCTGGCGGCCATGGCGGGGACGCCGCGGGCCTCAAGTCAGCGCTCGCGTCTGGGCGGGAAGGAAGTTCGTGCGCTCTCTCATTACCCACCAACCCCGACCCCGACCCCAACCCCGCTCCGGGGCGGTCCGTCCGCGCGAGAGGCGGGGCTGCGCCGTCGCTTAGCGCTTGTATAAACGCGGGCCGCAGAGCTCCGCAGCAAGCCCGCCGTCCTTGTGTGGGGAGCAGCTGCTGTGTCGCAGCGTCTCGTGTAGACGTCGTGAGCTGGGCGGAGTTGGAGGCTGGCCGGCCTTGCTGCGCCGCACAAATTTCAAGCGTTTCCTTGGATGAATAGCGGCACGGGCTTGGGGGAGGAGCCTCGGCACTTTTGCCTGTCTTTTTATTTTCCCCTTATCTTCCGTAGCTCTCTGGAGTACACTTAAATAGCCAGGATGGGGGGTTTTCCTGCCATACCCAGCAGGATTTTTTTCAAACCCCTTTGTTCTTTTCTTGGTTAAACCTTTTTGTAACAATATTTGTTTTTCTCGAGTGATTTTTTTTTTTTTTTTTTTTTTCAATTAAGAGTCTGTCACACCATGTCTAATCTCTGCACTGCTTGTTCTGCGGCTCTGCAAGTCCCAGGTTACAGCCTCTCCCTGGTCCTTGTCGGCACCTGTTTCATTAGTTGTGATCTTTCTATAACCCATTCAGGAGTTGAGACCTGTTTGATATTGGCTGTTAGTAGCTCAACAACTGGTCGACATCTGGCCAAAAATAGTTCTTGTATTCAGGGTTAATATTGAAACCATTCTGAGCTCCAGCTAGCCAAGCTCTTGGTTAGTTTATCCATAAAGTATGAAAACTGCACTTAAGAAAGACCTATGACCTCCTTGGAGAGCAGGTCACGCTGGTACTTTAGGTAAGAGATCCGCCACAAAATGATTATCTACCTGTTTTTAGTAATCGGATCAGCAGGAGTTTGTAGGACTCTTCTGAACTGCTTTATTTAGTTTCTGCTAACCCCTTACCCCACTTCTCCCCAAAATATAGGTTGTTTTTTTTTTTAAATCGTAATGTTTAGTTCGGATATTTTCAAAATGCAAAGTTTGGGTTTGTTTCAGTATTTTTGTTTTGCCATTGAAAAGAAAGAAGATTAAAAAACAGGAAAATGGAATAAAATAATTCATTTCATGTTGAACACGATATTTCAGGAAACCAATTAAAGAAACAAAACTCCATTATTTTCACAGCATTGTTTGGGATTGCTAAATACAGATATACTTTGCCCTCTAGTTTTCATTTGAGATATTAGAAAATAATTGCTGTTCTGAGATGCAAAAGAGCCTGAGAAAATTTGTCCCATATCTCACTCTCGTTGCAGCGGGGGGGGGGGCCTGTGGGGGGGGGGGGGGGGGGGGGGGGGGGAAATTTATCCCACACAAGAAGCCGGCACAATAGAGGAGGGAAATGGTTCATGGGTGCTGTGCTGGCTTCTCTATCAGGGTATAGGTTATCTATTGGGATTATATTTTCCCAAAGAAGCGTTTTCTTTTCTCAAGGGTAAAGATTTGTGTTAGTGATACCAGAAGCTGGAATGTGACCACTGAACAGCCCATGGGAACTGCCATAACATATCAGACCTGTGGCTCATGCTTTCCATAGCTTGTTTCCAACCATGGCCAATGTCAGATTTTTTTCCTTCAGAGAATTTCCAGGCCTCCTCATTTTAGTGCCTAGATCTGCCTTCTCTGCTCCCTCAGTTTGAGGCACGCTGAGCAAAAATAAATGCAACTGATAAAGCTGTACCAGTGCATTAGGAAATGGCAATCAAGTATCTTCTGTATTATTTTCTATCCTGTTCCTTATGCAGCCTACCATTGTGTTTGCTGCTTAGGTCCTTGTTCTGCATTCAGCAATGGTCTCCACTGAACAGTCCCAGGAATGTCTGGGAATAGTTGAAATGATCATTTCAATGTGCATTTTTAAGTTGCTCATTGTCACAACCCAAAGTTGTGGATTTTTTGATTGTGTGTGCTTCGGCACCGCTAAATTATGTTCCCGCCGAATTGCAGCTCTTTTGCACGACTGAGTGTTCCGTTGTTATAGAAAACCTGCGTGCAGAAAAGTGTTTCCCGCCGTTTTGTAGCCTTCTTTGCATTGTGCATTTCTCTTGCATTATAGTGATGCACGCTGCAAAGGAGTTCCCTCCATTTGTATTAAGATTTGAGCCACATTATTGGCCGGTCTTAATTTAGGCACACGTGGCGGCTAGCTATTGGCTTGCTAGCCGTACAAAAGGCTTGGGTGGTTTCCGCCTAAGTTGGAGAGAGAGACGGAGAAAGAGACGGAGAGACGGATCTCTAAGCGCTGTGGGACCTTTCGAACCCAGCGCGTCTTTCTTAAGAAGGCGATAGAGGCTCCAATTGCTGAACCCCCGGAGCCTAGCAAACTCCGGGGCACCACTCACCGACGGCCTCTAGCCTCTC